AATTAAAGTTTATTTGGGTGACAATGGTTTGTAAAGTTATATAAGTTTCTAGTGTACAATTCTGTTATACATCATTTATGTATCACATTGTGTGTTCACCACTCAGATGGTGGTGGAAAATTTATACTTTATTCTGCTTTTCAGGAGCCACAGTAAGCCCTATAGATACTACTATATAACCAACATACTTCAGCAAAACTTTTACTTTTGCATTTCTTCCACTCGTAGGAGAACTGCTTACTTTAAATTCCATTTCACCTTTTCTGGCTCTTTTGGGTTCATTTCAGTTAGAGTATGTTCCTTCCTGTTTGATCTTTGCTGATTCATCTTTTGTGCTTTCTTTTTTTTATGCCTACCCTAAGGTCTTACTTGCTCTGAGTCTGTGATACATTAAATCCTTTCTGGAACAAGGTGAGGTATAAATAAACATAGAGTTCCTCTAGTCTGAAACAGTAATTGTTCACAGCTCTAAGGCAGAAAGGAAGGGTTATCAAGGGATCTAAATATCAAAGCTAGCTTTAATAATTAATATTGGCATCTCATCTTTGTGATCCATTAGGGTACAAGAAGTATATATTAAATTATAATTAATTTACTCCCTTAAATTTGTTTTTTTAAAGCAATTGTTCTCAAAGGATATAATTATAATTACATTTTGGTCATTTTACATCCTTATTCTTTATTAAATTAGATCACATTAGCCTTTATGATACAGACTTTTGCTGGGGGGTACTTAATCAGAACTTAACCCAGTGCACTGTATAAGAATTCAGAGATCAAGCAGCTCTTATCTTCTTCCATAGAACTCAGTGAATTCTTTAAAATTAAAAACAAAAAGAAAAACAAAACAACTATATATTATCCCTTTGTAAAAACTCAGAATGTTCTTGCAGATTTTTCAAAAATCCAATTAAAGTTTATGGCTAAAAGTTACCAGGTTGCTACAATCTTTCAAAGTAAATTTCTAATTAACTTTTAAGCGCTGAGGTTAGAAGGTTTTTCAAGCTTCCTTCTCATCTTTCTCTCTCCTCCTTCCTATTTATTCTTTTCTAAGATGCTATCCATAGACCTTTTTTCCCCTTGGCTCTACAAACTGTCCCTCAGCAATCTCAACCACTCCTAAGTTCCAATTCCACTTGTGCATTGACAATCTGTTTCTTTCTGTAGCCTGTACATCTCTCCCGAGGGCCAGTCTAGTATATCCAACTGTTTCCTAAAAATTTCCACCTGGATGATCAAAAGCACCCTAAACCATTTAAAACTGAATTTATTTTTATTACGCCAGTATCTCATAAATTCTCCTAAATTTCCTATTTTGGCAAATATCAGCTCCTTTTACCAGTCTGCCAAGCTAGAAATGCCAACCTTGATTCCCTTATCTTCGCTTCCCACAATACAATTAATATTCTTTCTGACCCATAGATACCTGTTCTTTTTGTGTCCTCTTCTTTCCTCCTACCTCCTTTCAAATGCTGGATAGACCTACAGTAATGCTTTCTAACTGGCCTCCTAGCCTGCAGGCCCTTCTCTTCCCATCTCTTTTCTACTCACAGCTTTAAGTTCTCTTTCTAAAAAACATGACAATGATCAAATTATTTCATAAATCAATTATAATCAATAAAGCTGAATTTTTTTTCATGTCAATGATTTGGTACTAGGTTCCTGAGGTATATGACTCTTCAAAATTTGGTCCTAGCCCTTCTAGAAGAATTCCTGTCACTTCTGAATAACGAGAGGGAGTATAGCATAACGGTCAAGAACATAAGCACATAGTCAGATTACCGGGGTCTGAATCCTGGCTCTGAATTTCTTGGCTAGGGCAAGTTCTTAGCCTATCGGTGCCTCATTGTTTTCATTTGGAAATGGGGATGATGGTGGCTACACTTTCCTAAATTACTGAGTTGTTTCTCTTGATGAATATTAAGTACGAAAAGACATAACTGATATTTCTAATGACTCAATAAACATTAGATAGAATTATCATCATCATTATCCCTCCACAAGTAAGTATTTGCTATTCCATACTCTTTAATACCTTGCTCTTTATGCTGAGAAAACTTCTCTATCCCCTCTCCTGGTTTAATACCATAATCTTTAAGACCCAACTCAAACTTACCTCCACTACAATGTGTTTCCATCTTCCTCAGGCAGTTAGTTACTCCATCCCTTTATGCTCTGTAGCCTTAATAAATCTTCCCAGTTACACTTAGCCCTGTATTGTGCATATTTTTATGAATCTGACTCTCTCCTTCAAATTAAGTTAAAGCTGTTAAGGCTTAGGGTTGTAGCTAATAACGTGTACACTCCTCACCCTACTGCCTCATACAGTGCCTGATTTACTAGGCATACAACACAGCCTTGCCAAATGAACAGATCTTTGTCCCTCTCTTATGGGACCTAATGGAGTTTACTTTGCAGCATGCTATTTCCTTGAGAGCCTCAGGCCATGTCTTCCCCTCTTTGTGTCCTTGAAGCACTGAGGTAGGTACACAGCAGACAAGAGCTGCTCGAAAATGATTAGCTTGGTCCAGGACCACAGTGATAAATTCAGACCTTTCCCTTTGGAGTACTACCATCTGTCCACCAGCTTCCTAAAGGGCTGGATAAATAAGGAAATGTGAACCTTCACATCAAACTATTTATTATGAGGCACTTGAGTAAGACCATAAACACTTTATAACTTTAGCTTTTGAAATCATATTGATCTTGATTCCTCCAGGGCCTACGTAACTTTAGAGCCAAGAGAAAGAGCTTCCTCCCATCATGTTCTCATAAAGTACCGACATTTGTGACATGATTGTAAAATTTTATATCCAGCATAACTGACTCATTTATAGTCTTAATAATGTTCTCTATCAATGACTGAAAAAAAAAAGTTTCTTTCCATTCTGATAGAATTACCTTTGACCCAAGAAAATTTCAGTGAGTGTAATATTTCTCACTCCAACTCACTGGTTTAACATTATATAGAATGATGTTTTTTTTTCTAAGAGATGGAAGAACTTCTATCCTAGCAAAAACTTTAGGGGTTAGAGAAAAAAAAAGCCAATTTAAAATATTTTCTCTAAGCAAACTTTGGTGGGCAAATAGGCATATAATATAGTCAATCCAATTCATGACAAAAGTAAATTTCTTAAGTGAAAAAAAAGTATTGCTGTACCAGTTAATTTTTAAAGAAAATGTGTTTTGCATTAAAATGATGTAGATAAATATCTATTGATGTTAAAGCATAGTAAGTACAAAAGTTGTTACAAAATAGAACCTTAATTTTTATAAAAATAGAAATAAATTACACATTTTTTATTTAATTATAAGATCTGGATGAATGTAGACTAAGGGGATTCCCCAGGTTGTATAATTATGGGTCATGAAAATTTCTTTGTTTTTTTTCCCACGATGAACTTGTATTGTTTATATAAAAAGAATTAAATAAAAAAGACTATGTTTTTCATTATGAAACTGGAAATGATGCTTTAAAAAAATTAAGCTGTTATTAATTTAAATTTACTTACCAACAGATTCTCCCCTGCCACTCCTCTGTTGTTAAAAACCACACATCTAAAAACCAGGAAAAATTTTTGTTATTTTTACACATGATTCTTGCTCACAATATATTAAAATCATCTAACTAGCACTCTTTTAGAGTGCTAAAAGATTTTTTTAAATGTGTTCCAAAGACATGAGACTGCTTGACAATTTCATGTAAGTGCACTAAAATACATTTCCAGTTCTCTAAATTCAATATATGGCTTCAAATCAGAAAACTGTATGTTGAAGTGATGTTAAATTTTCCTACCAAAACAGAATATTTACAACTTCTTCCTATGCACATGTGAGAAGCCTCACATCTGAGATGGTAGGATGGGCCCTCACATTTACTGGCTGGGTATTCAGTTGATTTAGGGGAGGAAAGGCTACCTGTGTTTTCTATAATCCTGTTTGCCTATCCTGGATCAACAGTCATGTATAAAGGGCTTAGAGCAGTGCTGGTTCATGCTAAGTACACAACAACAGTTAGCTATCAGTATCAGGTTAGTTGTAGTGCCATGCTAGCTTTAAAAAGTCATTCTGCATTTAAAATATTTAACTCTCCTTAAACTTCCAGTCAACCATAACCCTAGATAAGTGTTTTTTTGCCATCCTCAAACAAAATCCTGACTTGTGTCTGCACAGGTTCTCTTTGATTTAGTGAATCAATATTCATGTCAATGAAAATTCATTTTGTTTTTGATTGTTTACTTAGCCAATCAATCAAGGCCATTTAAGGTTCTAATTCCCTTCTTTCAGGGTGCTGCGGATCATTGCAAGGGCTCTAAGCACCGATGAGCTGACTGGCTTACAGAACATTCAACAACTTTGACTCTGCTCAGGGGGATTAGATTTCAATGTGATATTCAGGATATGTTTCTGCAAAAGAATTCTTTCTTGCATCTGAAAGGTCATAAAGAGAATTTTAGTAGGTCTAACTGAAAGAAATGTTTCACAATCTCAGAATTCTAACTTGAGAAAAAGCTAGAAATACCACATTTTATTAACTAGTCAAAGGAAGTTCTTTAATATACTATAAAAACATGAAAAAAAGTTAGAGTAGGGTCAGTTAGTCCTTGATCTTTTCTTGCCAAAAAGATGGCAAGACACCCTAGACATAAATAAAATTTAAGTTAGCCACTTGTATTTACTTGCGTAAGAACCTAAGTTACACAGGAATTGGGGCTAAAGTTAATTGTGACCTTGAACCTTGAAGCTCCTAGTCATTCAGAAAAGACCCACTTTTAGAGTGCAAACACTACATAAGGATAAAAATGGCTTCTGGGGCAAGATATCACCATGTGACTGCCACTGAGAGAAAAGAACTAGTGAGGGAAAAGAAAAAGATGATCTGCAAACTCATGAAAAAGCAGCCTATACACCTGGGATTTCCTTACAAACTGCAAACTGGGATATTTGCACTTTTCTTCAGGCAACTTTGAAAAGTGGATCACAGCTCAGGTATCTCTTGCTAGAAGAGGAATTGTGCTGACCTCTCCGTAGACCTTTGTTCCTGATAATGTTCAATCAATAGCAGTCATCATTGTATATACGTCTAGCCTTGGAAATGGAGCAGAGAGATAAGGAAGAATGAAGGAGAAAAGCAGTTATAGAGGAAGGCAGAATGAGAGCTGCCATTCTGTCCCTTAATCCCACTCCAGTTGGTGATAAGCAACCAGCCTCTTCTTTAACTTCTTTTCTGCCCTGGCAGTCATCATGGAAATGCTTACACATAAAGCTAAAAGAGCTGGTTGTGAAATGACAAGAAAAAATTTCTGAGATGTTCTACATTAAAATTACAGTGGACAGAGGGTGGAAGGAAGAGATGCAAAGGGGTTAATCAGTTAACTGCAGTGAAAAACCAAAAAAAGACTGCTCACACTCAGTGCATTACTGGAATTATTATGTGTATGTTGAAATTATTAAATTAACTTCCAGGTGGTTATTTCTGGGATTATCTAAAAAGACAGAATAGCCAGGTTCAAGTCGAATCCCAGGAGCCTCTGCTTCTTGGACTCTGATGTGGACTCTGACGTGGACTCTGCTGTGCCTATCCTAGAACTAGCCCTACTTCACCTTCTCCCATCCCTTTTGTCTCCAGCTAATATAAATTATTTCAGAATGGCTTACATCTTTTCCCCCCCTACTCAATGCATAAAAACACTTGCAAAACTTAGAGATGATGGACATGTTTGTCTTTTCTACCTAGCCACGCTCTTGGTGGTTCAGACTTCATGCCGCAGGACTAGTCTTCTTTTTTTGCTAGCAATGGCCTAATAAATCCTTAAAAAAAAAAGACTTTCAGCCATGGAAGCTAAAATTTTTGTTTAACAGAAACAACTACTCCTCCTAAGGCATTCAATAAGCCTCTGTTAACTTTATAACAGCTCTCTTCAAATAACTTTTAGTTTCTCCCAACTTTAAAGGGTATGTATACGAGAAAAATCATGCTGCAAAACTTATTTTTCTGCATATTTTTACTTAAATTTTCTTCTCAAAACAGGGAAAATATAAATAAAGAGAAGAAATACCATTTCTGTTTACATTTCTCATTCAGTTTTTTTAGATTCCACATGTAAACAGAAATAAGTCTCAGAGACACAAAGGAAAAACTGAGGGTTGCTAGTTGGGAGGGGGTGGGGATGAGGGACAAGGGGAAGGGATGAGATAATACAAATTGGTAACTACAATATGGCTTCAGGGATAGAAAAGACAGTCTGGGGAATATAATCAATAATGTTGTAAATATTTTTTAGGGGGCCAGATGGACTCATGTCTTGTTAGGGAGACCACTTCATAGATGGTGTAGAGGCCTGACCACCACACTGTATTTCTGAAGCTGATGTTGAATAATATTGTATGTCAACTATAATTATATGTACATATAGTCACGGGATGTGAAGTAGAGTGTGGGAATGGAGTCAATAGAATTGTAATAGATAAGTATGATATCGGGGGTGGGAGGGCAGTAGATGGGGGAAGGGGATTGTTTCTTTTGAAGGGTGAAAAGGATAACTATTGCATTGTTCTGTACACCTGAAACTAATAATAAAAAAAAGAGAAGAAATACCAAATAAAGAATAAATCTGATATTAAGAACTTCCTGTGACAATGGAATACATCAACCAGGGAAGCAGGTGAGTCTACTTTAATGAAGATGAAATAAAAGGCAGAGACATACTTACAGCACAGGATTTTTCAACCTTTAGCACTATGGACATTTTGGACCAAAGAATTATTTGCAGTGGGGGCCGTCTACAGCCTCCTTGTTTAAGAATCACTGTTACAGTAAGATGGACCAGATAGCCTCGAATCTGCTCAAATCCAGTGATTTACCAGAATAACGGGATTTTTATCAGATGACCTTAAATATTTTCCAGTTCTAAGATACCACAAGTCTGTGTCTAAGGATAGAAATAATAGTCAGCAAAGGGTGTAGTGAGAGAACATTCAGAGATCACTACACTGATTTCAGATAATAATGACAACAGATATTTATTAGTGTTTGCTATGTGCCAGATCATGTTCTAAGCACTTTACATGAATATTAATGTTGGAATGACTCATTCATTCAAAAATGTATTAAACAGAATATTTACTGAACTAATTTTAAGATTGAATTAGAGCTTATAGGAGAAAAATGAAATAAAAATATAAGGTTTCTGGCCTCAAGGAGAGTACATCTAGTTAGGCTGAAAAGAAATGCACCATATTTTCAACTGAGTGACTATAAAAGTGATATCATAAGGCCGTTTATAATTCAAAGTTATATAGATAACAAATGAGTTATATAGATCACAAAGCTTTATGAAGTCAGGATGGGCAAAATTGATTAGGAAACGATTCATGGAAAAAGCAGATAAATCTTATGCTGAGACTTGAAAAATAGTAAAGATTTCAGCAGAAGAAAAGTGTGAGATACAATATGAGTTGAAGGGAGCAATGTGAGCAAAGATATAAGGTAGGTATGTATAAAACTTTCTAAAGGATGAGAAAATAGATCATCTTAGCTGAAATATGCTACATAGAGGGTAATGGTATAAAATGAGGATGGTAAAATAGGTTAGGACCAAAATAGGTATAGGGTTCTGAATGCCAGATTAAGAAAAGATGACAGGAGGTTCTGGTTCCAGAAATGTCAGAGTAGATCCTATTAGGCCAACCCTTCCATAGAATAATAACTATAAACACTTAACAAATTATAAAGGCAATGAAGAACAACCAAAACCAGGCAGAAACTGAATGGGAGTTGACACCTGGAAGAAGAAAATGGCACTGGGTGAGTTTCTTGTTTTCACAGCCTTTTACCTGAGAGAAGGCACTGGTTGGTTTTACTCAATGATGGATAAAAGTCAGATAGAAATGCTCAGTGTCATGGGCTTGAAAAACTAGAAAACAGAGTTTGGTACAACTACAGCAATTAGAAAATGAGAAATCTCAGAAAAGAGAGAAACACAGAGGGAGGCTCCTAAATTCTTGGTAAAAACTGGGCCCAAAGCTCTGGCTGATCTATATATATGTGAGGCAGACTCCAGGCAGTTCAATTAAGCATAAAAAACTGAACAGAGATTTCAGCTGCTGTCTACCACAGGGGAGAAAAAGTTTGAAATTTGAGTTTAGCGAAGTTATCTGCCTGATAAAACAAACAAACAAATAAACAGCAGTACTCTTTGTAAAACTATAACAGAATCCAGAGTCACTACAATGGATCATTCAAACTGTCCAGACCACAAAATTACTAAATCATGGAAAACCAGGAATACATGACCCATATTCAAGAGATAAGAAAATCAGTGTAATTGATGCTGAGGTAATCTATATGTCAGAATTAATGGATGAGGATTAAAAGGATCTATATCACTATGCTCAAGCATATAAAGGAAAATAAGCTTGTAATGAATTTTAAAAATGGGAAATCTCAACAGGGGAATAAAACTTATTTAAAAATTGAAAATTATAGAACAGAAAACACAATATCTGAAATAAAAATTCACTAGATTTGCAAACTGTAGTTCCAATCTAAAGATGAG